AGCGAGAGTCCAAAAGTGGCAGGCTCAAACCCAGAATCTCAACCAATGGCTGATACCAAATGAGAAACTCCCTCCTGGGCACACAGAGGACTGGGCGACTTGGAAAGAGCTGAACAGACTGCGCTTTGGCACCACAAGATGCAGAGCCAACCTTCAGAAATGGGGCTACAAAGTGGAATCCTCGACATGCGAGTGCGGAGAGGAGCAAACCACTGACCACCTGCTGCAATGCAACCTGAGCCCAGCCACATGCACAATGGAGGACCTTCTTGCAGCAAGACCAGAAGCACTCCAAGTGGCCAGATATTGGTCAAAGGACATTTAATCAACTCCCAAACCCACACATTTTGTATTTTCTCTGTTTGTTTGCTTTGTTCTGTTAGAAATGTAATATAACTGACTGGCTGCCCTGACACGAGAAATAAAAATAAAACCATTAATGTTATGTATGTTGTGTATTATAACATAATGCAATGTCTGCTGAAAATATTTTACTGTGTTTGTTTGTTTTTAAAAAAATATTTTACTGTGTTTGTTTTTTGTGGGCCTCTAAATGTGGAAACAATGAGAGCAAGCAGTTAATTACTAAGAACACCACATCCATGACATTACCACTGAAACACGATTCACTTGGGGGATCTCAACTAGAATAAAACAGAAAAGTCCAAATCTGTAAGATATGTAGGCTTTTAGAACTTAGGAAGCCTAAAGTAAAACAAACAAAAACCCCAAAACATCAATAACAGTCGGATTTTAAGTGCCTGTGCAGACTTTGGTAATTTATAACACACAACCCTAGGCAATAAAACCTAGATGGAAACAGAAGTACACAAATTAGAAGTTATCTACAAAGGTGAGCAACTTCCAGCCCACCAGTCCACTTCATTTCCCCATCAAGCCTCTTTGACCATTTACTATCTTTATCCCTATAACATTAGCAGCCACTTCTTCCTTTTCTCCATTTTGCACTGTTCCCCTATATGTGTAGAAAGATAAAAAAGAGATAGAAGAACAGAGACAGGGCCACAAAGAAATAACCTGGAGAGGCACAGAGAAGGAGATAACAATAATGTTCATTTGGTCTCACCCACCTTTGATTTTGGCCACACTAACACTGGCACATGAAACCCACAGCATTATATACAAAAGAATGAAGACCTTGAAATGAAAACTCACATAGCCAAACACACTATGCTTCTTCTTCATTGTGGTATGTTTTCAAGCCATTTCTGACTTACGGTGGCCCTAAGGTGACTCTATCCATCTTCAGAGATGGATGATCATTCTTCTCCTCTGAGGTGAGATTATGATTTGTATACTATGCTGGCTCTCTCTCCACTTTTAGTAGCTAAAAATTCAATTGTAACTCCATCAAATACATAGTATGTTAATCTTGGTTTTTAGGTACAAGAATAAGAGTTTCTAGGTCTGAAAACTGAAGTAAAGTGGAAATGGCAATAATAAAACAAACCCTTCTAATCTCCACTTTCCAGGTGAAGTGATTGATCCAGTAATTTCTTAAGCCTGTAAACATCAGTGTCTAATCCTGAAACACAGCTACAATGAAATACCTTCAGTTAAGTCAGTTAAACCAATGCTGTTGAACTGAGTAGTACAGGTAGTCCCCAAGTTAGGAGCAAGATAGATTCTAAAGGTTGCTCTTAAGTTGAATTTGTGTGTAAGTTGGAACAGGTTCTTTTTATTGTAACTCATGCAAACTATATCTTTATATTAACTTTGGATAGCACAGGGAAGAGTTAAGACCCTTGTGGTGTTTTTGTTGTTGTTTTTTTGTTTTGTTTGTTGTCTGTGCCCATGTTCAGAAGATTTCACCTTACTTTCTGTCATGTAGCTTGTGGAAATAAGGATTGGTGAGAAACCTTCAGTTGAAGCACCTTTCCCCCCATGATAACTCTTTCAGGAGTGAATTTCCTCCCAAGGGGTAGCTTTCTCTCACTTCCTGTTGTCTTGCCCCCATTCTTAACTATGAGATGTTTGTAACCTGGGGACTGCCCGTATATGTTTTGTTAGACATTGCTATGCATGCAACCTGTACTTAAAATAGCAGTACAGAATTGGTACCTCAATCATAAACACATTTATTTGACAGGATCTCAATAATATCAATAAAACGCGCCCCCCCCCCCATGGATTCTATTACTTTTCCAATGGGAATGAACTGAAGTCTCTTAAGCCACCGCAGCCACTCTTACTATGAGGCTGAAGAAATAAATATGCATGACAGTGTCAAACAATCACGCTATTATAGTTGAAGCTTGGAAAGAAAAACATTGAAATCCGTAACTAGTTACCCTTCATTTTTCTTTTTTTGTTTTGTTAACAAAATCTTGTTTTAAAAGCAATGCAACAAGTAAAAACAGTATCCCTTGAATATATTACTTTTAAGGCCAGAGTTGCCAGTCATTTTCAAAATTAACTTTTAAAAACATTTAAAAAGGTATTTTGAATTTATGTTTTATGGCAATTTTTGTATCATTCCTAAAAACCTATTTTTCTCCACCCAAAAAGCAACAGAACTTAATGGAAAAGTAAATAGCAGAGTAACAAGTAATGTCACAGGTTAACATCTTGGTAATGGAGTAGGTTACTTTTAAAACACTCTAACATATAAAAGAACAATTTATTTTCAGGAAAAGTAGTCTTCCAAGTTCCAAATGTGTTTTAAAGGCCTACTTAGAGGGGGGAGGGGGGTTATGTCTCAGGATTTTTTTTTTTGCATTGCTGAACCAGAATATGTAGTTAAGCTTCCTAGTCTTTATAAGACCTTTATTTCTAAAAGTTTTACAGTGAGAAGAAAAGAAATACTTTTAAAGGTTTTTTTTTTCATATTTAGTACATAAAGCTATTTTAAAATGATCTTACAATAAAAAAAGAGTAGTGATGATGGAAAAATTGAGGTTTTTTTAATCATTATGCTAAAGAAGCAAATTTTCTGAAGCAGATAATACTTACTGTGAAGGTAAGGAAATGTGTTAATTATCCATTCATCTGTCAATATTTTAGTTTTTGATGCCTCAATACATTTCAATTGATTTGAGGAGTCTCTTGATTCAATCCAACAAACTGTGTTTTTCTTGTATATAAAATCCAGTGTCTGAATTCCATTTCCTCTCACAGAGCCAAGGGTAGATGCTCTTGTTCCATTTAGATATAGAACCTCAATAGTATCAGAGCTTGTAATCAGTAGAACTGGGGCTGTATCATTAGGCTCTAAAAATAAGCAAAAAGAAGAAGAAGAAGAAGAAGAAGAAGTGATTAGTTTAAATTATTTTTAAAAAAACCCAACCCCTACAGCCAGATGTACATATATGTATCCATGCAACCATTTTCTTTCAGCTATACATGAATTAAAATAATACAATTTACTTTTTCCTCTCTAAACATTCAAATTCTTGCTTTGGATGAGTGTTCTTCAGAAATCTGAGCCACATATAATCACTGTTAAACACATTTATTCTGCATTACAAACTCTTAAAGTCAGAACTATGAAATCTTACACATAACCACAACAAAGGTTTTTTCACATCTGCTGACAGAGATTCCTAATCCTTAAGTGGGGCCAAGGACATTGAAAGTAGAAAAGGTGGTACTGTTCCATTATCCAGGTGGAAGCCACTAGAGGGTGCCACTAGAGAGAGAGAAAGTCTATTTTATGAGGGGAAGTTGAAGGAGGAAAACCATTTCCCCCATTTTTCCTGGCTCTTTTCCCTCTTTCCTTTCCATATCATAAATGAGGGTTGTTTCAAGAACAGAAACATGGGTAGGGAGAATAACCAGAAAAAAGGGGGAAATGGTTTTACTCCTTCAATCCACCCTCCACCCATATAAAATGGACTATACTTCTCTCTCTAGCACCCCCTAGTGGCCTCCACCTGGGTAATAGAACAGTACCAAAAAACCCTGGAGTCAACAATGTATAATGTTTGACTGTTATACAATATTTTTGTTTTGCAAGCTGTGACTTTTTTTTAAAAAAAAATACAGGTTTGGTATATAAGACAGAATGGCATGCTATTTCAGCCTGCACTACCATTGCCTGTGGCACAAGAATAAAAAAAAACACTAAGGGTCCTCTTGGAGGAAACAGGTTAAAACCCACTTCCTCCTGGGTTTCAGTCCCCACCCCCAATGAAAATCTTGGGCTTTCCCTTGCAGAATGTCACCCAGGCTCCTTCCAACTCCCCATCCCTCAAAAAAAAAAAACTTACTGGAGGGGCCTGCTGACAGTGAAGTACTCCTGATGCAGGAAAATGATGTCAGGAGGCAGCGGGGTGGGGTAGGAAATCACCCCTCCTCCCACCTTGTGATGCACCATTTTCATATGATAGAAGTACTGTGCAGAGGGGCCTGCACTGCCAGCAGGCCCCTCTGGTAGGTTTTTTTTTAGGAAGGGGGGCGAATGGGGACTTGAGGGGAGGGGTGGATGACCTTCATGCTCCAGCAGCCTGAAAACCTGAGATGGCTGTGGGGAATGGCCCCTGAGGCTGCAGAAGTAATCCCAAGAGTCAATCCCCATGGGACCCACACCTGGAAAGATCTGGACCTTAGCTTAAGGTCCAGGTCTTTACAGGTGTTTAATTAATGTGGATTATACTAGGAAAACCCAGTTTTCTCCACTTTTATTCGCTTTTCCCTGAGATGTTGTTTGGATGCCTTGGTAAAGCAAGACAGGTCCTGTGTTTTGGTCTTGTCTGGAAGGGACCTTAGAGTTAAATCCAAAATTGGTTTTACCTTAGGCATACTGAAATGAATGAATCAGTCACAACTAAAGAGGGATTGGTGGTAACTCTATATCAACTTCCAGCATTTGATGATGACATATGCATAATCATGAACCAACAATCAGAACATGTAACAAGAGTGATTCTCTTTGCTTGGATTTTCCCCAAAAGCAGATGAAAGAAGCTATAGCCTCCCTGATCATAGCCTGACCCTCTGATGCAGCACTGGAGACAGAGGGAATTCAAGACAGGATTGCAAAGCCTAGGATCTTCCTGATCTTTTTCTTTGACCTTTCTCTTTCTTTCCCAGTATTGCAAGGGGTGGTATTGGGGAACTCAACAAAGATTCTAGGCCATAGCTCCTTTAACTTTAATGGGGGAGCCAAGAGGGTATTTGGATAATCTACAGCCTCCTTGAGCCTTACTCATGTCCCCCTGCCTTCCATTATCAGATTTGTGGAAAAGAAGGGTATAATCTTCTTCAATCCCCTCTTGGCCTTTCCTGACACCTCAGACTAGCATCCAACCCCACCCCACCCCACCCCCAACCATGTGGCAAGACTACTCTGAAAGCTATAATTTTCAAATACATCTAGCAATGCAGAGAAAATTAATGAAATTATTATTTCCTGAAGTAACATATAATTTAAAATAGCACAACAACACCACTGGAGTTCATCAGAGTAATATACAAGACCATGTGTTTAATATCTAATCAAGGATATACTAGCATTAGTTCCACAATAAGAATAGATTCTAACAAGACACAAACAGATCTGGTCATGGTGTTACATGCCTTGGTAATATCCCATTTGGATTACTGCAATGTGCGCTTCAAGGGACTGTCTTTGAATGCTCAGAAAATTCAGCCAGGGCTGTCTACAAGAAGCACACAACTACCCCATTGCAAAATCTACATTGGCTGCCAGCTCATTTCCATGTACAATTCAAAGTGGTGGTTTTGACCTATAAAGCCTTACAATGGCCAGGTTATTTGAATGACTGAATCTGTTTTTATGAGACTTCTGTAGCTCTGTGATCATCCAGAGATAGCCTTCTTTCTGTCCCACCATCCTCCCAAGCTTAGTTGGTGGAAACAAGAGAGGAAGCCTCCTCAGTGGCTGCTATTTATTTATTTATTTATTTACTATATTTATACCCTGCTCTTCTCGAAGGGGACTCAGAGCAGCTTACAGATTATGGCAAAATTCAATGCCTCATTATACATACAAATAATAAATATAACATTTCAAATTATAAAACAGTTAAAACATATAAATATGATAAAACAGATTAAAAATAGTTTCCTAATCACCCTCCCCCAACAGGCCATACATAAACCTGCCAGTAAAAGTGGTCTTTGAGTTATTACCATGGAGTAAAGTGATATAAAGTGCTAGTTAGAAGGCTACAAGATTAGGGTACAGGTGCCACAATTTTAAAACATAAGATCTCAAAGTGCAGGAGTGCTAAGATGGAATAAGAGTTTGGCTGCAGGTCTCCTTATGGGTAAGACTAGGACCGAGCAAGATAGCAAAGCTGGATAACAAATGCTCAGGCCCCATGGTCTCTCCTGCAGCAGGACCCAATAAAGCTCTCCCAGGCCTCTAGGTCAGTCCTTTGATGTTCCTTGCTTGGAGGCTGCTGGGTCAGCTGGCTGGAATGAGGATGTGGCTGCAGGTCTCTTCAAGAATAAGCCCAGGACCGAGCAAGACAGCAAAACTGGATAACAAATACTCAAGCCCCAGGGTTTCTCCTGCAGCAGAGCCAAACAAAGCTCTCACAGGCTTCTAGGTAAGTCCTTCGATGTTCCCTCCTTGGAGGCTGCTGGGTCAGCTGGCTGGAATGAGGGTGTGGCTGCAGGTCTCCTCATGGGTAAACCCAGGACCAAGCAAGACAGCAAAGCTGGATAACAAATCCTCAGGCCCCAGGGTTTCTCCTGCAGCAGGGTCCAAAAAAGCTCTCCGACATTGGAACTCTCTCTTCAGAGAGACCAGAATAGCCCAATCTCTATTCACCTTTGTTCAGCAGGCAAAAACATTTCCCTGCCATCAGACATTCATAGTCTTTGAAAGATGCTATGATTGGGATTTTAAAGTTGGCATAAAGTTTTGATACATTTTAATATTTGCAATGTATAATGGTTTTAACAGTAAAATTGTTCAGCTGTTTTAAATTTAATATTTATATTTTAATGTCACAAAATTGTGTTAGATTTATTGCTAGCTGCCTTGAATCCCTATATTGGGAGAAAGACAAGAGAAAAATAAAAGAGATAATAGTAATACATAAAATTCCTAAGGTTGACTAACCTAAATATTCCAAGTAACAAATATAGCATTCCAATTAATGATCAGCTAAAATGAACAAAAACAAAATGGATTCAGAAAATCTTTGCATCTTTATAATTGTTCAGAGATATAGTACTTCACGTAACAATTTATATATTTATTTTGGTCAGTGACCAGCATTATACCTAACAATTTAATATTGCACATTATATGTTGGTTGTTGGGAGAACACTTTTAATAGAAGCCCTACAAATGTTCTATATAAGATATTAGTATTGATTTGCATATAAATACAGGTTTATGACAAGGGAGAAATGACTTTCACTAATCTATTGAGTTGTCAATGTATATTGCTTTCTGAACTAACCATATTCTCTGAAAACAAACTGAAGAAAACAGCACTGTGCCTATGTTCTTCATAAACTCAACCTGAGCTCCCAGGGGAATATCTACAACACATATACCTGGAATCCAATGGTAACTCACATCATCATTAGTGTCCTTGTCAGTTACATGTTGACATATAATCTATATGTGTTAACACACATTGGTCCTGGAGTGATCTGGCAAGCTGCCATTCTCCTTACGAACTACATTTCAAACAAGTAAGATTGACAATGTCCCAGACAAGACCGGATCAGCAGTGAGAATTCCCTGTAGATATCTGCATTTCTCCTTTAGAAACCCTTATAAGGCTTTTAAAAATAATTCCCTCTTTTTGGCACCCATTTGTGATAACTATTCACGAATTTCCAAACATTTCTAGAAAGTGGTATATGGACACCAAATGCAAATTTCTAAAATATACTTTAAGATATATCTGAGAGTGAATTTGAATAAAACTGACAATATGCAGGTATTAAAGTGTTAAAATATAATTTCCTTATATATTTTTAAATCTTTTCTCTTTTTCAGGCTAACTGGAGGATTATTCTAACAAGATTACAATATACTTGTAATTTGGAATACTCCATTGATTTCATGTATCTACTGGCAGATTGGAAAAGAAAGTTTGCTACATTTTTTTTTACAAAATTGAAATATGTCACTTAATTGTTCAAGCAAAACAAAGACCAAGACAAGATGCTTGTAAGCCAGGTCCTCTTCAAAAAATTGCATGACTAAAATGCATGTTTTGTTAAATGTACACTAGAATGCATTCGACTTTATGTATCTTTTAAAAATGTACATAAGGGGA